CACCAGTCTCCAACTAGCACTGCATTGTACACCACTAACCATAAGGTCAGTTGGTCATTTCAGAAACAGGAAGGACTAAAACTGTCAATAACACAAGTGAACAAACTGTCTCTTGTAATTAACCACAGGTATACACTGCTCCTTCTACCTCAGCTGAAAAACGTGCAAGGAGCATTCCAGCAACTTCAAACCAACTGTGCACAACAACAGCGTGCTGGTGTCAGGATCCTAGCAGGAAAAGCTCAAGCATGCCAGCTGGTACAAGGCAAGCCTTGTAATTTTCTACACTACAAGGATACCATAGGAGTGACTCACAAATAAAAGTCTGTTTCACACCTAGCAAGACTTTGACTATGAAGAATAAAGTATGGAAATGCAGTTGGTCAGATGAAAAGCAGGTTACTGTCCTGAGCACCACTGCAAGCAAAACTCCATGAGATTCTGTGCAGGTGAGGTCTCACAATAACAGCTTCAAATTTAATCCAAGTTAAATAAGTGAGTTTCAGGTTTTCTGCTTAATTTTAGTGTGCCACGAGACGAGGCCTACAGTGCAATTTGATTTTTTACTCCCTCTGGTTTTGCTCAGTGAAGAGCCCGTATGAGCAAGCAAAACAGAGCTGAGACAATGAGACAAAATTCTTAAATGTAAGAAATACAGAAACATCAAGTGACAACTGAAGTGAATACAACATTAAGAAAACTCACAGTGCCTTTTTAACTTGGACACTTGCCACAGAAAGACGACTTTCTAGCGGGCCACGTCCCTTTCAATTTTAAGCTCAAGCTCCCCCTTTTCCCTGTTCCCCCCGCACAGGCTCCCGTGTCAAGGCACTCGCAGGGCTCTACCGCGGCCTGCGCCACGCAGCGGTGGCGCCCAGGAGGGATCCAGGCAGTGGCGGAACGGCTCCCCACCTCCCTCCTTTAACGGCCATGGAGAAAACTCGGCCATGGAGCAGCGGAGGCCGCCGACCGCTCGGCCATGGGCCCCGGCCCGCCCCCGCC